TGGCTCTGTATCTTCATTCTTTCTGGAAATATTTCTCCACTCTTATCCAGTAGCATATTGGGCACCTAACAACCTGGGGAGTTCATCTTTCAGTGTCGTATCTTTTTGCCTTTTCATACTGCTCATGGGGTTTTCAAGGCAAGAATACTGAAGTGGCTTGCCATTCCCTTCTCCAGTGGACCATGTTTTGTCAGAACTCTCCACTATGACCTGTCTGTCTTGGGTGACCCTACACAGCATGACCCATAGTTTCATTGAGTTAGACAAGGCTGTGGTCCATGTGATCAGTTTGATTAGTTTTCTGTGATTGTCGTTTTCTGTGATTCAGGAGAATGTTGGACCCCATGAAAAAAAGATACCCCAAGTTCAAGGGCAAAGGAGAAGCCCCAGCAAGATGGTAGGAGGGGCAAAATCACATTTAGAATCAACTTTCATACCCACCAGAGATATTCGGAGGGTTCAGACAAAACCTTGTGTGCACCAGAACCCAGAGACTCCACAGAGAATGTGCCAGGCCTGCCTTTGAGTGTTTGAGTGTCTCCTGTGGTGGCGTGGGTCAACAGTGGCCTGCTGCAGGGGAAAGGGCTCTGGGTGCAGCGGACCTGGGTCACACGGCGTGTGGCATAAGCCCTCCCGGAGGAGGTCACCATTAAGCCCACCTTATAGCTGCCGAGCAGACGACCCGCAAACTGCAAAGCAATTACACCAAATAAACTCTCGTACTATTAACAAAGTTCTAAGACCCACAACAGAATTCCCAATCTGGGGATCTGACAGACGGACTGAGAATCCCCAGGGAATTTGACTTCAGAGGCCAGTGGGATTTGATTATAGAACTTACACAGGACTCGGGAAACAGACTCTTGGAGGGCACAGACAAAATCTTGTATGCACCAGGACCCAGGAGAAAGGAGCAGTGATCCCACAAGAGACTGACCCAGACTTGCCTGGGAGTGTCCAGAAGTCTAAGGTGGAGGTATGGGTTGACAGGGATCTGCTGCAGGGTCAGGAGCACTGAATACGACAGTGAGTGCACAACCTTTTGAAGGAGGTCGCCATTATCTTTATTACCCCTGCTATAGTTTAGTCTCAGGTCGAAAAGAGGGAGGGAACACAGCCCCTCCCATCAACAGAAAATTGAGTTAAAGATTTACTGAGAATGGCCCCGCCCATCAGAACAAGACCCAGTTTACCCCACAGTCAGTCTCTCCCATCAGGAAGCTTCCAGAAGCCTCTTATCCTTACCCATCAAGGGGTAGACAGAATGAAAACCACAATCACAGACCTCCTAGTACTAACACACACACAAAATAAAATGTTCAATTCATCACTGGGTATTGGAATGCAAATATAAGAAGTCAAGAGATACCTGCAGTAACAGGCAAGTTTGGCCTTGGAGAACAAAATGAAGCAAGGCAAAGTCTAACTGAATTCCGCCAAGAGAATGCACTGGTCATAGCAAATACCCTCTTTTAACAGCACAAGAGACAACTTTACACATGAACATCACCAAATGGTCAGTACTGAAATAAAATCGGTTGCATTGTTTGTAGCTGAAGATGGAGAAGCTGTGTAGAGTCAGCTAAAGCAAGACCTGGAATTGACTATGGCTCAGATCATCAGGTTCTCATAGAAAAATTCAGGCTTAAACTAAAGAAAGCAGGGGAAACTACTAGGCCAACCAGGTATGACTAAATCAAATCCATTATGAATATGTAGTAGAGGTAACAAATAGATTCAAGGGATTAGAACTTGTGAACAATATGCCTGAAGAACTATGAACAGAGGTCCATATTATTTTATAGGAGGAAGCAAACAAAACTATTCCAAAGAAAAAGAAAAACAATAAGGCAAAGTGGTTACCTGAGGAGGTTTTACAAGTAGCTGAATAAAGAAGAGAAGGAAAAAACAAGGGAGAAACAGAAAGCTATATCCAACTAAATACACAGTTCCAAAGAACAGCACAGAGAGAAAAGAAGGCCTTCTTCAATGAACAGTGCATAAAACTAGAAGAAAACAAAAGAAGGAGAAAGACCAGAGATCTCTGCAGTAAAACTGGAAATATCAAGGGAACATTTCACCCAAAGATGGGCACAATAAAAGACAGAAAGGTGGAGACCTAGTAGATGCTGAAGAGATCAAGAAAAGATGGAAAGACTACATGGAAGAACTGTACAAAAAAGATCTTAATGAACCAGATTAATATGATGGTGTGGTCAGACACCCAGAGGCAGACATTCTGGACTGCCAAGTCAAGTGGGCCTTAGGAAGCACTGCTGTTAATGAAGCTAGTGGATGCAGTGGAATTCCAGTAATTATGCAAAACCCTAAAGGATGATGCAATCAAGGTGCTGCATTCAATATGTCAGCAAATCTGGAACACTCAGCAGTGGTCATGGATAGGAAAAGGTTGATCCTCATCCCAATTCCCAAAAAGGATAGCACTAAAGAATGTGCTAACTGTTGGGCAATTGCACCCACTCCCATTCTGATAAAGTCGTGCCTTGAAATCTGGCATGCTGGGCTTCAGTGTTATGTGAACCAATAACTTCCAGATGTCCAAGCTGGGTTTAGAAAAGGCAGAGGAACCAGAGACCACATTGCCAACATTGACTAGATAACAGAGAATGCAAGGGAATTTCATTAAAATATCTCCTCTGTTTCATCAACTATGTCTGGTGTGACCCTGTTTGTTTAACCTATACACTGAGCACATCATGAGAAATGCCAGGCTGGATGAGTTACAAGCTGGAATCAAGAGATGAGAGAAACATCAACAACCTCAGTTATGTGAATGATACCAGCCTAATGGTAGAAAGCGAAGAGCAACTAAAGAGCTGCTTGATGAGGGTGAAGGAGAAGAGTGAAAGAGCTGGCTTAAACTAAATAACTAAGATCATGGCATCTGGCCCCATTACTTCATGGCAAATAGAAGGGGAAAATGTGAAAGTAGTGACAGATTTCCTCTAAAACCACTGTGGATGGTGACTGCAGTTATGAGATCAGAAGATGATTGCTTCTTGTTAGGAAAGCTATGACAAACCTAGACAGTGTGTTGAAAAGCAGAGACATTACTCTGCCTAAAAAGGTCCATATACTCAAGTCTAAGGTCTTCTCAGTGGTCATGTATGGTTCTGAGACCTGGACCAGAAAGAAGGCGGAACCCGAAGAATTGATACTTACAAAATGTAATGCTGGAGAACACTCCTGCAGGTCCCTTGGACAGCAAAGAGATCCAACTAGCCAATCTTAAGGGAAATCATCGCTGAATACTCATTGGAAGGGAAAAGCTGAAGCTGAAGTTACAGAATTTTGATTATCTGATGCGAACAGCCAACTCATTGGGAAAATCTCTGATACTAGGACAGATTGAGGGAAGAAAGAGAAAAAAGTGTCAGAGGATGAGATGGCTGGATGGCAAAACTGATGCAATTGACATGAACTTGGGCAAACTTTAGGAGAGGGACAGGGAGGCCTGGCATGCTGCAATCCATGGGGCCGCAAAGAGTGCGACACACCTGCGTGACTGAACAACAATAACAGCAACAACATAGTATTACTATCACTATTATCATGTCTGACATTCATCAAATGGTTACTCTGATAACACTGGAACAAAGCATTTAACAAATACATCTCTTTCACTCTCATCATGACCCTTTGAGATTGATAGAGAAAGAGAAAAGCAACCTCTGAGTTCCAAGACCTGAGCTGGTACCACAATGACCCTTCTGTTCTCCTGCTCAACATAAACGTTTTACAATGCTTCCACACCAGATGAGACCGTTCTGGGTTGGTGAAAGATCTACACAAAAATAGGACATTGGATAATCATGTTTGAGCACTGAGCAAAGGAAACATTACACAAACCATCAATATGACCATACACCTTCCTATCTTGAGTGACTGTTAGTTCTTGGCCAAGTACTAACCCCTATCTAGTCTTTGCCTCTTAGAGTTAAGATTAAGATACTCAGAGAACTATCACACTTCCTAAATATCATCCATCCAGACAAAGCCAGCTATCTGAAATCGTCCCCAAATTCAGCTCAGAAGCCCACATCTTATAAGTTCTTTCTAACACTGTCTTAAGAGGACTGCATATTATTATCCAAGATAATACCACTTCCTTGCTGCAGTGAGTAATAAACTCAATGAGTTCAACTAGAAACGGGAGTATTTTAGTGTTCTCTGGTTAGAAACATTGACAAGTACAAGCCTTCTCCTTATTTTTATAAAGAAAGCAAAGCTCAGAGATGTTGACAGTTTTCCCAGGACTGGAAAGATATGAAAAAGAGTACCAACACCCTGTGTGTTCTCGTTTATTCAAATACTAATACTTGCTCTGGTCTCCGTGACATAGTGAAACAGATACTGTCTGTTTCCAAAGTTGCCTTCATTCTAAATCTTCCAAGATGCTGAGCAAGAAAGCATCATCAAAGACCCTCTGCTTGGGAGAGTAGGGACCTGCCATATTTGGAAATGAATACAGCAGCTAAGTGCCATCTCTATGTCTCCATTTCCTCCCTTGAAGGATTCTTAGCATGATGCATGGAAAAATGCAGGCAAAATGAGAACACAGAACCAGGGGTACTAAACAGTAGTTGCCCTTTCTTTATCTGAAGTTAGAAGCCCCCTCCCCACATGTGACCTCAAGGAATCAGATTTCTTAGAAAAGTGGACAACTGAACCTCACGCCCATTGTCCTCCTGAGAGTCAGGAGGACAACCTGCCCCCCAGTTTGACTGAACTTAGAAGTAAGAAGAAAAGTTGTCATGTTGACATGTGTATCTCCCAGGATTCTGTGTAACTTGTGCAGCTATTAAGAAGTCATTGATGACATAATGAGGTTGCTTCCTATACCTGGTAGGGCACAGTCTGTGGAAAGGTAAAGGTTAGGTGCTGACAGTCTGCAGAACAGTGAGAAGGACCACCATTTCCATGGACCCTATTGGTTGAGGTTTGTAATTACAAACAACAGACTCCACTCTAGTCAGTTTAATTTTGAATGTGCATTTATTGAAATATAGCCCATAGGGCTTGAGGCTACAAAAATGAAAATTGCAAATCCTTGTACAGTCAAGAAACATTTTTAAATGAAACTCTTCTCTCATGACTGATGCTCAGAACTGGATGCTGGAAATACCACCTTGGACACCCAGAAGGAGAGCAGTGATGGTGGGGACAGGGATGAAGGTAAGGATGCTGTGAGGATGGGGGTGAAAACAAAAATCCTATGTTACACTGCAGCCTCTGAGTTAATGTGGTCCTGAGGAATGTGCTCCTACTTTACTCCTTCCTTACTCAAATAATTATAAACAGCCTCATTGGTGCCAGGAACTGTGTGAAGTGCTAGGGGTAAACAGAAGACATGCTCTCACGGTGATGAGAGCCACCTGGATAGAAGAGAATTAGACGTGTTGACCAATAGAGGAAAGGAAATAGGCACACTCTGCTGAGGGTGGGGAGAGAAGGACTGTGAGGAGACTGAAGACATTCAGATGTAGACACAGCCCAGCCCTGCAGGAGTCCTCCTCGGACATCAGAGTTTCAGGGAACACTCTTCGTGTGTCCTCTGCAAAAAGAAAGGAACTTGTTGAGTGCCATCAGTGTAGCCCCAGACCTGGACAATGGTCAACCTAATAGATCCTGTATTTTAAAAAAAATATGGAACCACATTCCCAAATCACAAAGAAGGAAATGAATTTTCTAAGCCTAGGTGGGGTGCTCAGGAGCACTGCAGACCTGCCCTGGAGGGTGGCTGAATCAGTGTTCCCATCTAAGAAAGAGAAGCATGTGATCAGGCTGAGATGACCACAAAGAGGCATCAGGGGTTGACCTTCTGCCATTCTCTCCCTGGTTTCACAGGACACTGCAGCCTCTCCTCCTGGCAGCAGCGAGGGGGAGGACACTGTGCAGGGTGAATGGTGTGTGGCCCCCTGAGCTCCCCACCTCTTTCCCCAGCCCTTCCCCTCCTCCTGTGCCCTGCCCCCTGTCTTACCACAGGGACTATGCGTTTGGATGGCAGGTCTGCCTGCAGTCCTCCAATGTCAGGAAGTTGTTTCTGTTTCCTCCACAATCGCCATATAAAAACATCTCACAGTACCCGGTCTGGGCATTGAAGAAGTACCTGACCATCGTGGCCTTGCAGACACCCACAAATTTAGGCTCCATGCAGAAAGCAGGCATAGAAGTTGGTGAAACTAGAGGGACAATGGCAGAGTTATGAGGATGGTCATCACTGCTCCGTACAAGGACAACAACTAGAACCACCGGTTTGTTTGCAAGAGAGAATGTTAGGGTTGTGGAGTGTGGTCAAATTGAAATGCCCATGTGAAAACACCCCTTCTGGGGCAGAATATGAATGTTGCTAGGGATGGCATGATATAGTAATCATGTACAAATGTATATCTCCTCATTAAGTCTTTTAAGAAAGATAGGTATAATGCCTCTGATAAGCTGAAGAACATCTATAAGACTTCTGAGGTGGTCCAGTGGTTAGGAATCTGTATTCCAATTAAGTAGTCCTAGGTTCAATTCCTGGTCAGGAAACTCAACTTTCAAATGCTGTAGACAGTAAGGCGGCAGGGCATAAATTCTTTATACTTATAACTGGAACTCTGTTCAAAGGATGTATGTAACATATTTCCCCTCTTCAGGTGAGGAAATTGCAGATAACTTTTCCCATGAAACAAAGCATGTGGATGGTAGAGTCAGGACAAGTTGCTATGGTGTCACACAACTCATCGGATATAATATATGATTCTACCAGGAATTCAGGGAACACAGTTTACTTGTAAGAGTTTCTGGAGCTAGCAACCTACTTTTATTACTTCCTTGTATATACGGTAACCTAAGCCCCCAGATCAAAGGGCAGACTGAGCCTGGCTTTATCCTATCACAAATATATGGTGTCTCTACCAACATTAAGCCATTCTCCAAACACCCACTGGGTGTCCCCCAGTCAGTTGATGTCTGGTATGAAATCTATGCAGTTACTGCAGATCCCACAGGTTGAGCACCCAAGACTGTCCTCACTTTAGTGCAAGCAACGTGGTCCGCACTTAGTTTTGCTTGTGACCAAATGGTTAAAATGGAGAGGTCCATGATCCCAACTCCATGTTCAATAACTGAGTGTTAATGATGACCAAACTTTGGACAACACTTACTTAGTGTTCCCAGATGAAGATACATGAAACGTTCACAGTGAAATGGAGGAGAGGAGTAGGGAAAAGGGGCAGTGAAGGTGTGTGGAGCCTCCATTCCCCAGGGAACACAGCACCCTCACAATGGTATTGACCACCCAGCAAACTCTGAACCCAGATATTTATGCCCTGTTCAGGTTTCAATAAATAGTCTTACGGATTGAATCATTGGTCATTGATCTGAACCTCAGTGCCCTTCCCTCTTCCCCAAGGCGCAGACACTACAAACCTTTCATCTCCTCACTGAGTGTTGAGTATTCCATATTGAGCGTAGGAAATTCCTCTTGCGTATGGTTATCAAACTGTATTCCGGAAATCATCACCTGACCTATGAAGGAGTGTAAATTTCAAGAGTTTCAGGAGGCCTGGTCCATGAAACAGGAAAAGGATCAAACATGGGTAAGATAATAACAGTCAAAAGACAACAAGGGAAACGGCCTGGAGACTTCCATTATATTGTATCAGCCTTGCTCCCACAGGCTACCCCACAAGGGCTGTGTTTCTTGCTTTCCCTGCAATTGCCCTCCTCCACGGTTTGACATCTTTTGATTACTCTTAACAACACAGGAATAAACATTCTTTGATAGAGAAATATTTTTACTTGGCCACAGCAAGTAGGTAGAGAATATTTTTTCAGATTAGCACATTGTGGTTGTGAGTGGACAAATCTGGTCATGACACATGGATAAACTGTTTCTATTCATAACTCGTAATCTATTCTAAGAACTAATGTAACATGTTTCCCCTGTTCAGATGAGGAAACTGCTGATAACTTGCCCAGGACACAAGCATGTGGGCGGCCTGGTCAGGACAAGATACTGTCATGTCACATCACGTTTGATACACTATTGATTGGCTAGGAACTTGACAGCATAAATAACGGGTGAGCGCTTCCAGGTCCAAGGGCTTACTTTCACTACTCACCTCTCCCCAAGCCTCAACAGAGCCCTCACATCACAGGGGAGGGTGAGCCTGGGTGAGTCTATTTTTCCTGACAAAAAATACGTGGTTTTTCCACCAACCATCCAATTCCCAGCACCCAACAGGCCTCCCACTGTCCATTGACTTCTGATATCATATCTGTGGAGTCAGGGCCGAAGGCATAGGTTGAGGTATCAAGACTGCTCTGACCTCAGATGCCAGCCTTGTGTTCTCGAGTTATCATGTTTCTGACCAAGTGACTGAAACTTGGAATTTCCATGACTCCACCTCCATGCTCAAAAACTCGATTGAACCAGCGACCAAATTCAGAAAACTCTTAATCACTATTCTCATATTAACATACAGGAAAAAACTCAGAAACCATGAAATGGAGGAGATCTTTCATACATGGGAGAAGTGGAGATGGACAGAGCCTCCATGCCTTCCTGAGCAGAGCACCCTCGCCTCATGACAGTTTCTTCCCACCTCATGAGCTCTCTGAGCCAATATTTATGGATTTTTATTGAGGTTTCACTCAATAGGCATATGTATTGAATTGTCAGCCAGTGGTGACTGATCTCAGTCTCAGTGCCCTCCTCTCTCCCCATAGGTGCAGAAAGTTCCAACCTTTAAGGGCTTTGTTGACTATTTCGGCCAATCCTGTTAGTATACTGGCTCCCTTTCCGAAAATCTTGGTACCTAAGAGAAACAAACATTTAAAAAATTTTCACGACCGTTGGACCATAAACCAGGACAACATTCAAATGTGAAAAATAAAATGATAGGAAAAAGTGGACAAAGGAAAAGGCCTGGAAAATTTGCTAATATTATTCAAGGCTTGGTCCCATGAGCCAAAGGCTTGTTTGCATCCTTTCCCAGCAGTTCCATTTCTGAGTGGTCAGGGTTTGTGTGATTAATTTTTAAATAAAGGGATAATCATTATTTGACCCATAAATATTCTTTCTTTCTGGCCCCAAGTAAGTAGGTAGAGAAATATTTCATGAACATATCCTGTGGAAAATGACCAAACATGGCCTTGAAATGTGAATAAACTGCTTATATTTATGACTGATAATATGTTCAGTGGAGAAGGAAATGGCAACCCACTCCAGGATTCTTGCCTGGAAAACCCCATGGACAGAGGAACCTGGCAGGCTTAGTCCGTGGGTGGCAAAGAGTCAGACACGACTGAAGAAACTTCACTTCATGTTCAAAGGACTCATGTAGCGCTTATCTGCTATTCAGATGAGGACTATAGATGACTTGCCAGAGGACACATGGCATGAGGGTGAAAGGGTCTGAGCAAGATACACACTGTCACACCCACTGATACACTCTGCTATTCTGAAGGGAACTCTGAAAATACTGATAACTGGTAATGGCTTCTGGGTGCAGTGTCCCACTTTCATTACTCCCTGGCCCAGCACTCACCTGAGCTCCCAAAGCACAAGGGAGAGTGACTTGGGTTTCCTTGACACCAAATATGTGGTGTCTCTTGAAACAACATCCAATTCCCCAAACACCCACTGGGTGTGCCACAAGGCAATTTAATTCGGAGAGGAAATCGGGGGAGTGAGTATACATTCTGCATGTTGAGGTCTCAGAACTGTCCTCACTTCAGATATCAACCATGTGGGCACATCGCTCATGATTTGACAAAGTGTCTAAAACTGGGAAGTTCCAGTACCTCACCTCCATGTTCAATAACTCAATTAAACTGATGACCAAACTCAGGAAGACAACTCAAATGTGGATCTCACAATAATATTAAGGATAAATCTAGACACATCAAAATGAACAGATGTGCAAGGCAAAGTGGAAGTGGAGTTGTGGGGAGGCTCCACGTCCTAGAGAACACAGAACCCTCATATCAACAACCTCGCTAATTTAACAGCCCAAAAGCTTTCTTAATGCCAACTTTTATGGATTCTTATTCAGGTTTCATTAAACAGGTATTTTGATTGAATCATTGGCCAGTGGTTACTGGTTCCAAAAATCAGGGCCCTCTCCTCTCCCCAAAAATACAAGAAGATCAAACCTTTAATCACACCGCCGAGGATACTTTTGACCACATGTACTACTGAACGCTTCTCAAGTACCCGTTTATGGCTTGTCTCCACACCTATGAAAAACAGAAAATTCCAGATTTCAGGAGGCCTGGTCTGAACTAAAACAAGGATCGAATATGCCTAATAAAATGGTAGTGAAGAGTGGACAAAGGAGGGAACAAACATGGATAATAAACAATATACAAAACGGGACATGGGAAAGGGACTGGAGACTTTCCTAATAATTTCTCAGCTTTAGTATCAGGAGTCAACCTACAGAGGACTGTTTTACAAATTCCCTGCAGAACACTCATACCAAGTTTTTCTCATTTCTTTTCATGATAGCAGGATACTCCTTATTTGACACCTAAATATTTATCCTTGCCCAAAGTAAGAAGGTAAAGAAATTTCTTGAGATTTATACATCCTGGTGGAACATGCACAAAACTCACCATGAAACATTTATGTAATGTTGAGGTCTCAAGATACAGATTTATTGATTGAATTATTGGTCATTAGTCATTGATCTCAATCTCACTTCCCTTTGCTCTTCCCCCGAGGTGCAGAAAATACAAACCTTTATTCTCCTCACTGAGTGTTGAGTATTCAATCTGGAGTGTCGGCAATTCCTCTTGTGTGTGGTTATCGAATTGTATTCCGGAAATCATCACCTGACCTATGAAAGAGGGTAAATTTCAAGAGTTTCAGGAGGCCTTGATGATGGAAATAAGAAAAGGATCAAACATGGATGAGATAATAACCGTTAAAAGACATCAAGGGAAAGGGCCTGGTCACTTTCATTATGTTGTATCAGCCTTGCTCCCACAGTCTACCCCACGAGGGCTGAGATTCTCACTTTCCCTGCCGTGGCCCTCCTATGTGGCTCAACATATTTTGATTACTCTTAATAATACAGGAATGAACACTATTTGATAAAGAAATATTTTCCCGTGGCCAAAGCATGCAGGTACAGAATCTTTCTTCACAATTACACATTGTGTTGGAAAATGGACAAATCTGCTCTTGACACATGAATACAGTCTTTTTATTTGTAACTCATCATCTATTCTAAGGACTAATGTAACCCTGTTCCACTCTTTTGGAATCCTGTTCCAAAACTAATATTTCCCTTGATCAGATGAGGAAACGGCAGATGACTTGGTCAGGACAGAAGCATGTGGGTGGCCAGGTCAGGACAACATGCTGTCATGTCACAACTAATTTGATACACGATAGATTGGTTAGGAACTCAACAATACAGAGGACGGTGAGAGTTCCCAGGCCCAGGGTCTTACTATCACTACACACCTCGCCCCAAGGCTCACCTGAGCCCTCAAATCACAGGGTAGGGTGAGTCTGGGTGAGTCTATTTCTTCTGACACCAAATACATGGCTTCTCCACCAAGCATCCAATTTGAAACACCCAGCGGGCTGCCCCTGTCCAGTGATTTTTGATACAGTATCTGTGGAGTCAGGGCCGATGCCACAGGTTGAGGTATCAAGGCTGCCCTGACTATAGATGCTAGCCATGTGTTCTCGAGGTATCATGCTTCTAACCAAGTGACTCAAACTTTAAATTTCCATGCTTCCAACTCCATGCTCAAAAAGTCAATCAAACCAGTGACCAAACTCAGGAAACTCTTAATCACTGTCCTCAGATTAACGTAGTACAAGGAAAAACTCAGAAACAGTGAAATGGAGGAGATCTTTAGGGCACAGGAGGAGTGGAGATGGACGGAGCCTCCATGCCTCCTGAGCAGACACCCTCACTTCATCACCGTTTCTTCCCACCTCATAAAGTCTCTGAACTAATATTGATATAAGGATTTTTACTGAGGTTTCACTCAAGAGTCATATGCATTCAATCGTCAGCCAGTGGTAACTGATCTCAGTCTCAGTGCCCTCCTCTCTCACCAGGGGTGCAGAAAGTCCTAACCTTTAAGTGCTTTCCCAACTATTTCAGCCAATCCTGTTAGTATGCTGGCTCCCTTTGCGAAAATCTTGGTACCTATGAAAGACAAACATTTCAAAAATGTCAGGAATAAATATTGGACCATGAACCAGGACAATGTTCAAATATGAAAAATAAAATGATAGGCAAAGAAAGACAAAGGAAAGGACTGTGGAATTTTCTAATATTGTACAAGCCTTGGTCCCATGAACCAACCACATAAGGCCTGGGTTTCGTGCTTTCCCGGCCGTTGCCTCTCTCAGTGGTACAGGTCTGTGTGACTAATTTTTAAAAAGAGGGATAATCATTATTTGACAATAAATATTCCTTTTTTTCTGGCCCCAAGTAGGTAGGTACAGAAATCTTTCATGAACATTTCCTGGTATAAAAATGATTAAGAATGGCCATGAAATGTGAACATGCTGTTTACATGTATGACTCATAATATGTTCAAAGAACTGATGCAACACTTATCTGCTGTTCAGATGAAGACTATAGATGTGTTGCAAGAGAACACGTGGCATGAAGGAGCCAGTTGGAACAAGATACTTCAGTGTCACAACCCACTTGATATACTATCCTACTCTGCCAGGAACACTGAAAATACTGAGAACAGATAATAGGTTCTGGGTGCAGTGTCCCACTTTCATTACTCCCTGGCCCAGCAAGCACCCGAGCTCCCAAAGCACAGGGGAGAGTGACTTGGGTTTCCTTGACACCAAATATGTGAAGTCTCTAGAAACAATATCCAATTCCCCAAACACCCACTGGGTGTGCAACCAGGCAATTTAAGTCAGAGAGGAAATCAGGGGAGTGAATATACTTTCTGCAGGTTGAGGTCTCAGAACTGTCCTCATTTCAGATGCCAGCCATGTGCGCCCATCCCTCATGATTTGACAAAGTGTCTAAAACTGGGAAGTTCCATTACCCCACCTCCATGTTCAATAACTCAGTTAATCTGATGACCAAACTCAGGAAGACCACTCACATAGGGATCACGCCTAGTTATTAAGGATAATTCTAGGCACACCAAAATGAGGAGATGTGCAAGGCAATGTGGAAGTGGAGTTGTGGGGAACCTCCATATCCTAGAGAACAGAGGAACCTCACATCACCACCCTCCCTGTTTTAACAGCCCAGAAGCTCTCTGAAAGCCCACATTTGTGGATTCTTCTTGAGGTTTCACTAAACACGTGTTTTGATTGAATCATGGGCCAGTGGGCACTGTTCCCAGTCTCAGTGCCCTGTCCTCTCCCCAGAGGTGCAGGAAGAACAAACCTTTAATCACACCACCGAGGACACTTTTAATCACATTTTTTACTGAGCGCTTCTCAAGGCCCTGTTTATGGCTTGTTTCCACACCTAGGAAAGACAGTAAATTCCATGAGTTTCAGGAGGCCTGGCCATGAACTAAAACAACGATCAAATATGGATAATAAAATCTTCGTCAACAGTGGACAAATGAGGGAACAACAATGGATAACACACAATAGTGAAAAGGGAATATGGGAAAGGGCCTGGAGACTTTCCTAATAATGTCACAGCTTTGGTATCAGGAGGCAACCTACACAGGGCTGTTTCTTACATTCCCTGCAGAGCATTCATCCCAGCTTGTTCTAATTATTTTTCATTATAGAGGAATACTCATTATTTGACACCTGAATATTCCTTGTGCCCCAATGTAACTATGTAAAGAAATTTTTTAGATGAATACATATTGGCGGAACATGCACTAAATTCACCATGAAATATTTATGCACAGTTGAGGTTTCAACAAACAGGCTTATTGATTGAATCATTGATCATTGATCATTGATCTGAATCTCAGGGGCCTTCCCTCTTCCCCGAGGTGCCGAAAATACCAACCTTCATTCTCCTCACTGAGTGTTGAGTATTCAATCTGGAGTGTTGGCAATTCCTCTGGCGTGTGGTTATCGAATTGTATCCCGGAAATCATCACCTGACCTATGAAAGAGAGTAAATTTAGAGTTTTAGGAGACCTGGTCCGTAAAACAAGAAAAGGAACAAACATGAATAAGATAATACCAGTCAAAAGACAATAAGGAAAAGGGCCTGGAGACTTTCCCGATATTGGACCAGCCTTGCTCCCACAGGCTACCCCACAAGAGCTGTGTTTCTTGCTTTCCCTTCAGCTGCTCCCCTCTTGGCTCGGAACTTTTGATTACTCTTAATAATACAGGAGTAAACTCTATTAGATAAAGAAAATTTTTACTTGGCCAAAGAAAGTAGGTAGAGATTTTTTTTTTTTTTCAGCTTAAGGCATTGTGTTGTAAAATGGACAAATCAGGTCATGACACATGAATAAACTCTTTCCTTTCATAACTGGTCATCTGTTCTAAGAACTCATGTAACAGGTTTCCCCTGTTCAGATAAGGAAACTGCTGAAGACTTGGACAGGAATAAGCAAGTGGGTTGCCTGGTCAAGACAACATACGATAATGTCACAACCCATTTGATACACTATTGATTGGCTAGCAACTTGACAATACAGAAAACTGGGTAGAGTTTCCAGGTCCAGGGACTTCCTTTCACTACTCACCTCTCCCCATGCCTCACCTGAGCCATCAAATCACAGGGCAGGGTGAGTCTGGGTTTTTTCTTCACACCAAATATGTGATTTTTCCAACAACCATCCAATTCCCAATGGCCCAACGGGACACCCAGTGTCCCATTGACCTTTGAGACCATATCTGTGGAGTTAGTGCTGATGCCACAGGTTGAGGTATCGAGACTGCCCAGTTCAGATGCCAGCCACATGTTCTCAGGTATCATGTTTTTGAACAAGTGACTATAACTTGAAATTTCCACTCTACCTCCATGCTCAAAAAGTCAATCAAACCAGTGAACAAACTCAGGAAAACTCTTAATCACTGTTCTCAGCACAACGTACAGAAAAAAAACTCAGAAACAGTGAAATGGAGGAGATTTTTAGGGCATGGCTGTAGTGGAGTTGGATGGAGCCTCCATGCCCTCGTGAGCACAGCACCCTCAACTCATGGCCATTTAGCACCACCTTATAAGCTTTCTGAGCCAATATTTATGGATTTTTATTGAGGTTTCACTCAAGAGTCATATGTATTGAATCATCAGCCAGTGGTGACTGATCTCAGTCTCAGTGCCCTCCTCTCTCCCCAGGGGTGCAGAAAGTCCTAACCTTTAAGTGCTTTCTTGACTATTTCAGCCAATCCTGTTAGTATGCTGGCTCCCTTTGCGAAAATCTTGGTACCTATGAAAGACAAACATTTCAGGAATGTCAGGAATATTGGACCATGAACCAAGACAATGTTCAAATATGAAAAATAAAATGATAGGCAAAGAAAGACAAAGGAAAGGACTGTGGAATTTTCTAATATTGGACAAGCCTTGGTCCCATAAACCAATCACACAAGGCCTGGGTTTCATGCTTTCCTGGAAGTTGCTTTTCTCAGTGCTCCAGGTCTGTGTAATTCATTCTAAACAGAGGGATAATCATTACTTGTCCCAAAAAGTATTCATTCTTTCTGTCCCCAATTAAGTATTTACAGAAATGCTTCACAAACATTTGCTGGTGTGAAATGACAAAATATGGCCATGAAATGTGAATAAATGTTTATATTTATGACTTGTAATATGTTCAAAGAACTCATGGAGCACTTATCTGCTGTCCAGATGAGAACTATACATGACTTGCCAGAGGACACATGGCATGCGGGTGACAGGGTCTGAACAAGATACACCCTGTCACAACCCACTTGATACCCTCTCCTGTTCTGAAGGGAACTCTGAAAATACCGATAACTGGTAACAGCTTCTGGGTATAGTGTCCCACTTTCATTACTCCCTGGCCCAGCACTCACCTGAGCTCCCAAAGCACAAGTGAGAGTGATTTGGGTTTCCTTGACACCAAATATGTGGTGTCTCTAGAAACAACATCTAGTTACCCAAACACCCATGGGGTGTGCAACAACACAATTTAATTCGGAGTGGAAATCGGGGGAATTAACATACATTCTGCATGTTAAGTCTCAGAATTGTGTCGAGTTCAGGAGCCAGCCAATGCGACCATTCCTCATGATTTGACAAAGTGTCTAAAACTGGGAAGTTCCATTACCCCACCTCCATGTTCAATAATTCAGTTAATCTGATGACCAAACTCAGGAAGACCACTCACATAGGGATCTCGCGTTAATATTAAGTATAATTCTAGGCAAACCAAAATGAGGAGATGTGCAAGGCAATGTGGAAGTGGAGTTGTGGGGAACCTCCATATCCTAGAGAACAGAGGAACCTCACATCACCACCCTCCCTGTTTTAACAGCCCAGAAGTTCTCTGAAAGCCCACATTTGTGGATTCTTCTTGAGGTTTCACTAAATACGTGTTTTGATTGAATCATGGGCCAGTGGGCCCTGTTCCCAGACTCAGTGCCCTGTCCTCTCCCCAGAGGTGCAGGAAGAACAAACCTTTAAGCACACCACCGAGGATGCCTTTAACCACAGGTAGTACTGAGCGCTTCTCAAGGCCATGTTTATGGCTTGTCTCCATACCTGGAAAGACAGTAAATCCAAGAGTTCCAGGAGGCCTGGTCCATGGACTAAAACAGCGATCACATATGGATAAAAGTATAGTCATCAACAGTGGACAAATGAGGGAACAAATATGGATAATATGCATTAGTCAAAAGAGAATGTGGGAATGAGCCTAGAGACTTTTTTTATAATGTCTCAGTTTTGGTATCAGGAGTCAACATACACAGGGCTGTTTCTTATATTCCCTGCAGAACATTCATCCCAGCTTGCTCTAATTATTTTTCATGATAGAGGAATAGTCATTACTTGACACCCAAATATTCTTTATGGCCCAAAGTAAGTAGGTAAAGAAATTTTTTAGATTAATACATCTTGTCAGAACATGGGCAAAATTCACCATGAAATGTTTATGGACTGTTGAAGTTTCAAAAATGGTAGTTATTGATTGAATCATTGGTCTTTGATCATTGATCCGAATCTCAGTGCCCTTCCCTCTTCCCGGAGGCTCAGACACTACAAACCTTTAATCTCCTCACTGAGTGGTGAGTATTCAATCTCCAGTGTTGCCAGTTCCTCTTGTGTGTGGTTATCAAACTGTATTCCCGAAATCATCACCTGACCTATGAAACAGAGTAAATTTCAAGAGTTTCAGGAGACCTGGTCCATGAAACAAGAAAAGGAACAAACATGGATAAGATAATATCAGTCAAAAGATAACAAGGGAAAGGGCCTGAAAACGTTTGGTATTTTGTATCAGCCTTGCTTCCACATGCTACCCTACAAGGGCTGTATTTCTTCCTTTCCCTTAGTTGCCCTCATCCACAGCTCAACATCTCCTGATTATTCTTAAGAATAATACAGTAATAAATGTTATTTGCCAAAGGTATATTATTATTTGGCCACAGCAAGTAGGTAGAGAAATTTTTTTTCAGATTAACACATTGTGGTAGGAAATGGACAAATCTGGTCATGACACGTGAATAAAGTCTTTCTATTCATAACTCGTCATCTGTTCTAAGAACTCATGTAACATGTTTCCCCTGTTCAGACGAGGAAACTGCTGATGACTTGCACCAGGACAAAAGCGTGTGGGTTGCCCAGTCAGGACAAGATACTATCATGTCACAACCCATTTGATACACTATAAATTGGCTAGGAACTCGACAATACTGGGGAGAGTTTCCAGGTCCTGGGTCTTACTTTCACTACTCACCTCTCCCCAAGCTTCACCTGAGCCCTCACATCATAAGAGAGGGTGAGTCTGGGTTTTTTCCTGACACGAAATACGTGGTTTTTCCACCAACCATCCAATTCCCAACACCCAGTGGGCCGCCCACTCTCAACTGATTTCTGATACCATATCTGTGGAGTTACTGCCAATGACACAGTTTGGGATAGCAAGACCGCCTTGACTTCAGATGCCCACCACGTCTTCTCAAATTATCATCTTCCTGACCAAGTGACTTAAACCTGAAATTTCCATGACTCCAACTCTGTGCTCAAAAACTCAATCGAACCAGCCCCCATACTCAGGAAAACTCTTAATCACTGTTCTCAGGTTAATGTCCAGGAGAAATCTCAGAAACAGTGAAATGGAGATCTTTGTGGCACGGGAGGAATGGTGTTGGACAGTGTCCACACCGTCCTGAGTAGAGCACCATCACCTCACAACCATTTCCTCCCATCTCATAAGCTCTCTGAGCCAATATTTATGGATTTATATGAAGTTTCAGTCAAGAGTCATATGTGTTGAATCATCAGCCAGTGGTGACTGATTTCAGTCTCAGTGCCCTTTTCTCTCCCCAGAGGTGAAGAGTCCTAACCTTTAAGTGCTTTGTTGATTATTTCAGCCAATCCTGTTAGTATACTGGCTCCATTTCCGACAATCTTAGTACCTGTGAAAGAGAGAGATTTCAAAATTTTCAGGAATATTGGACTATGAGCCAGGACAACGTATAAATATGAAAAATAAAATGATATTCAAATGGGACAAAGAAAAAGGCCTGGAGAATTTGCTAATATTGTACAAGCCTTGGTCCCATGAGCCAACCACACAAAGAGTGGGTTTCATGCTTTTCCAGCATTTCCTCTTCTCAGTGGTCCAAGGTCTGTGTGATTAAATCTTAAATAGAGGGATAATCCTTACTTGACCCCTAAGTATTCTTTCTTTCAACCCCTAGTAAACAGGTAGAGAAATTGTTCATGAACGTATCCTGGTATAAAATGACCAAACATGGCCATGATATTTGAATAAGCTGTTTATATTTATGACTCGTAAAATGTTCCAAGAAGTCATGCAGCACTTATCTGCTGTTCAGATGAGGACTATAGATGACCTCCTGGGGGACATATGGCATGAGGGTGACAGGGTCTGAACAAGATACACGCTGTCACAACCCAATTGATACACTCTCCTATTCTGAAGGGAACTCTGAAAATACTGATAATTGATAACAGTTTCTGGGTGCAGTGTCCCACTTTCATTACTCCCCTGGCCCAGCACTCACCTGAGCTCCCAAAGCACAAAGGAGAGTGAGCTGGGTTTCCTTGACACCAAATATGTGGTGTCTCTAGAAACAACATCCAATTTCCCAAACACCCCCCAGGTGTGCAACAATGCAATTTAATTCGGATAGGAAATCGGGGGAGTTAACATACATTCTGCATGTTGAGGTCTCAGAACTGTCCTCACTTCAGATGCCAGCCATGTGAGCCCATCGCTCATGATTTGACAAAGTGTCTAAAACTGGGAAGTTCCATTACCCCACCTCCATGTTCAATATCTTAGTTAATCTGATGACCAAACTCAGGAAGACCACTCACATTAGGGATCACACCTTGTTATTAAGGATAATTCTAGGAACACCAAAATGAGTAGATGTGCAAGGCAACGTGGAAGTGGAGTTGTGGGGAGCTCCATGTCCTAGAGAACACAGGACCCTCACATCACCACCCTCCCTCTTTTAACAGCCCAGAAGCTCTCTAATGCCCCACATTTCTGGATTCTTCTTAAGGTTTCACCAAACAGGTATTTTGCTTGAATCATTGGCCAGTGGGGACTGTTCCCAATCTCAGTGCCCTGTCATTTTCCCAGAAATGCAGAAAGATCAAACCTGTAATCACACCGCTGAGGATACTTTTAACCACATTTACTACTGAACGCTTCTCAAGTTCCCGTGTATGGCTTGTCTCCAGACCTATGAAAGACAGTAAATTCCAAGAGTGTTAGGATGCCTGGTCTATGAACTAAAACAAGTATCAAATATGGATAATAAGGTAGTAGTCAACAGTGTACAAAGGAGGAAGAACATATGGATAATAAACAATATTCAAAAGGGAACATGGGAAAGGGCCTGGAGACTTTCCTAATAATATCTCAGCTTTGGTATCAGGAGTCAACCTATAACAGGTTGTTTCTTACATTTCCTGCAGAACATTCATCCCAGGTTTTTCTGATTATTTTTCAGATAGAGGAATACTCATTATTTGACACATAAATATTCTTTGTTTCCTAAACTAGGCAGTTAAAGAAATTTTTTTAGAGTAACACATCTTGGCGGAACATGCACAAAATTCACCATGAAATGTGATTCAATTTTTATATTCATCACTAGTGATCTTTTCAAAAAGCCATGTAACATGTATCCCCTGTTCTGATGAGAAAATTGCAGATGACTTGCCCCAGGACATGGCATGTGTGTTTCAGGGCCAGGACAAGATTCTGGCATGTTACAACCTATTTGATACAGTCCTTGATTATCCCAGGAACTCTGAAAATACAGATCATTGGAAACAATTTATGGGTGCAATATGTACTTCCATTACTCCCCCTTTTTGAAGCATCACCTGAACTGCCAATCACAGGGGAGAGTGATTCTGGGTTTTTCCCTCACACCAAATATGTGGTGTCTCTACCAACAGCCACCAATTACCCAGACACCCACTGGGTATTCAACAAATCCATTTACTTCTAATGGGAATCAATGGAGTTACTGCAGATTCTGAAGGTTGAGGGCTCAAGACTCTCCTCGGTTCAGATGGCAGCCATGAGGTCACGAGTCAATCATGCTTGAGACCAAATAACTAAAATGGGGGACAGACAGGTCTATGACCCCAACTTCAAAATTCAACAACTCAGTAGAACCGGTGGCTGAACTTCAGGAAACCATTGCTTACTATTCCCAGATTAATGTACAAAATATAACTCGAGGCAGTGAAATGGAAGAGATGTGTAAGGCAAAGGGAGTGGGAGGTGTGCCCAGCCTCTGTGCCCTAGTGAGCATAGCACCCTCACTTCAACTCCTTTATTCACCAACCCACAAGCTCTCTGAGGCCAGTTTTTATGTCTTTCTTCCTAGGGATCACTAAATAGGCACATTGGTTAGATAAGCCATTGGTGATTGATCTCACTTTCAGTTCCCTCCCTTCTCCTCAGAGGTGCTGGAATGACAGTTGTTGAAAACTGTAAATGTTAAATGGGTTCTTGTGGTTTCTTGGACACAGACCACACCTCAAGGTTACCTTGAGTTGCCTTTAGTTACTCATCTCATAACATCTAAAGTAAAGAAACTGCAAGAATTTTAGGAGACCTGGGCCATTAGCTAAGAGATGGTTCAAATTTTAAGCTTTTTATTACTATACAGGGCTTCCCTGGTGGCTCAGCTGGTAAAGAATCCACCAGAAATGTGGGAGACCTGGGTTCAATCCCTGTGTTTGAAAGATCCCCTGTAGAAGGCAAAGGGGTCCCATTCCAGTATTCTGGCCTGGAAAATTCCATGGATGATAGAGTTCGTGGGGTCGAAAAGAGTTGGACACGACTGAACGACTTTCACTTTACTTACTTTTATTACTGAACTACAGTGAGGTTCAGGGACATGGCCCGGAACAAAAATAGAGATTCTCAGAAATGGGGTTCCTGATCTGGCAGAATTTTGAGACATATATATATATATTTTTATAAATATCCTCATGAGAGTCATGATGTCAGTGGAGTTAAAAGTCTGCAACTAAAGACTTCCCTGGTAGTCCAATAGAAAAGAATCCACATGCTAATGCACAGGACTTGGGTTCTATCCCTGGTTGCGAAGATTCCACTTGCCTTGCGGCAACTAAGAAGGTAAACTGCAACTACTAAGCCCAGATGCCTAGAGCCCCTGATCTACAACAAGAGAAACTACCCCAACAAGATTCCACACTCTGCAACCAGAGAGTGGACTCCGGGACTAGAGAATATCCTTGAATAGGGAGGAAGACCAGTGCTGCCAAAACCAAAGAAACAAACAAAAATCCTGGCCAGCATGACAGGAGAAATCCAGAGAGGACTGGCAACACCCAATCCACACCTACCCCACCCACTTTCATTGACTTCCATCATTTTTCCAGAAGCTGTAGAAGAGAAGTGAGGCTGGACCTACCTTCATCCTGGATATGGTGTATATTCACCGGGATGCTGTCCACCAGGATAACCAGGAGGACAAGAAGGGCTGCGGAGAGGCAGAGCCATCTCATCTTGGTGGCCTTGCAGGAGGGCTCCTGAGGATGCTGAGGACAGACTGACTGACATTTTAATATACTGGCTGAGGGGTGGGATCAGGTGATGAGGAGGGGATTGGGCAAGGGGAGGAGCTGGGTCAGTCCTGTTTATTGCGTAATATCCCTACCTAACTATGCCTCCTGCTTCTGTCTGCAGGGCTCAAATATTCAGTAAGAACACTTCTCAGACTTGATGATGCCTGTGGGTCTCATGTAAACACAGATTGTGATCAGACAGATGGAGGGAGCACCCCAGACCCTAGAGCAGTGCCTGGCATGTGATGGATGATAAGTAAATGGATGAAGGTAGATCAGAAGACAGATAAGTGACTAGCAATGTGTTAGCCCAGGTTCTCCATTTCAGCCTTCTGCATGAGTCATCTCACCTGGACCTCAATGCTCTGACCCCCCTCACCTACCTCAGATGACAGGTGTGACACAGGTCACCTTCCTGCAACCATTGCCACAGCTTCTCCCATGGATGGACACTTGCACTTTACCAGGCATTGGTCCAGGCAGGAACTTAGCTGGAGAAGGTGACGTTGTCCTGGGCTCTAACCCTGTTTATGCATCGAAAAACGAATAAAGGAAGAGGCTGAGGAGAAGCAGGGAGCTGAACATGTATCCACAGCATGACCCACAGTCGTCCCTCATCTGGTTTCATCAACTAAATAGTTAAAAAGCTAAGACCATGGGATCTGGCCCCATTATTTTATGGCAAATAGAAGGGTAAAAAGTGTTAGGTAATGACATGTTCCCCCTAATTAGGCTCTAAAATCACTGTGGTTGGTGACTGCAGGTGTGAAATCAGAAGATTGCTTCTTTTTAGCAAAGTTATGACAAACCTAGATAGTGTGTTGAAAAGTAGAGACATCATTCTGCAAAAAAATTCCATATAGTCAAGTCTATGGTCTCATTGGTCACGTATACTTGTAAGATCTGAACCAGAAAGAAGGCAAAGTGCCAAAGAATTGATGCTTTGGAACGGTGGTGCTGGAGAACACTCCTGAAGTTCCTTGGACAGCAAAAAGATCAAGCTAGTTAATCTTAAGGGAAATGAACCCTGAATACTCATTGGAAGGTCTGATGCTGAAGCTGAAGCTCCAGTATTTTGATCATCTGACATGAACAGCCAACTCATTGGAAAAGTCCCTGATGCTGGAAAAGATTGAGGGCAGAAGGAGAAGAGGTGTCAGGGGAAGAGATGACTGGATGGTATCACCAATGCAATGGATGTAAACTTGGGCAAACTCGGGTGATGGTGAGGGACAGGGAGGCCTGGCATGCTGCTCTCCATGGAGTTGCAAGGAGTGGGACATGCCTGGGTGTCTGAACAGCAGCACAATATGGTATTACTATCACTATTATCATATCTGACATTCATCAAATGGTTACTCTGCTAACATTTGAACAAAGCATTTAACAAATACATCTCTTTCACTCTCATCACAATCCTTTGAGATTGATAGAGAAAGAGAAAAGCAACCTCTGAGTTCCAAGACCTAAGCTGGTACCACCAACAGCCCTTTTGTTCTCCTGCTCAACATAAACATTTTACAATGATTCAACATCAGATGAGACCATACTAGGTTAGTGAAAGTTCTAGACAAAAATAGGATATTGGATAATCATGCTTGAGCACTGAACAAAGGAGCTACATTACACAAATCACCGATACGATCAAACACTTCTCTTGTGTGAGTGTTATTTCTTGGCCAAGTACAGCTCAAACCTCTATCTAGTCTTTCCTTCTTAAAGATAAGATTAAGATACTCAGAGAATGACTCCACTTCTTCAGAGAATTACTCCACTTCCTAAACATCATCCATCCAGACAAAGCCAGCTTTCTGAAACCCTCCCCAAATTCAACTCATAGAAGCCCACATCTTTTAATTTCTGTGGACGAGGGGAATCAGGGAGCTGAACTTGTACCAACAGTCATCCCTCATCTGGTTTCACCAACAGGAAAGAGCTGTCTGCCTGAGTGTATATCAGGGGGCCTCGGAAGGCCGCAAATAGCCACCCCCTTCCTCCTGCTCTCTCCCTCAGTGGCTGCGGGGACATAGGACCTCGGTTTGGGTACCAGCTCTGCATTTTCCTAACTTTGTGCCTGAGGGTTTAAGCCTCTCAGAATTACGTGTCTTCAGGTGTTACCTGAGATCCATGCTGTACACTCATGTTGTTGCCATGGAAGCAATGGATGCAACAGGCATATATTCCTTCTCCCTAGAAGTTAAAGTCTTTGTAGTAGTAACAATAACAGTAATGAGTAATTACTCTAATTAAAATTTAAATCCTTCATTGTAGCAGGCATTATCCTACACACATGAAACATAAAATTCCTCTAATCCTAAGAAATCCTTAAAGAAAGGGGGAGAAACTGTTGACATATCTGTGTGTTACTGAAGAGGTACCTGAGTTAACAAGAAATAAAGTAATTTACTTAGATCATAGCTTGTAGAGAGAGGATTTGGCCCCAGTGATCTGACTTAGAGTCTATGCACATGCACTCTGCTGCATTGCAAGCTGTAAATTAGAGTGCACACAAGTCACATCCACCATCCCGTCACTCACTCGTGTTTATCAGTTTATTGTTTATTAGTTTGTAGTTACAAACATAGAGCACCGTTGAGAATGGCAGAAGCTCTCACTACCAAGCTGGCTTAGTACACATGTGCATCGGGAGTGGGTGACTCACAAAAGAAGCCACTGTGAGTGGAGGGTCCCTCTCTCCTGAGACATTCCACATGCATGATTCCATTTAGCCTCATGTCAGTTCTACAATATCTGGGATTCTCATACCAGAGTGTCAAGCAGAAAGGAGAGGCTCAGAGAGGTAATGCCACTTGCTCAGGACACACAACCTGCAGATGGTACAACAAGGATTCACGTTCAGAAGGCGCTCTGCCCTGCCTCTCTTCCTGCCTCAACGTCTGCATCTGAGACCACAGAGGAGCTGAGACTCTCCCCAAAAGAAACTCCTCTCTTCTCCCCTCTCCTCTCTCATCGGCTTGTCTTTTTCTCCCAGTGTTCTCCTCTCCCGGTCCTCCTTACTCTGGTCAAAATTAGAGGCCCCCAGTTCTGCAAGCCCCCTGATGGGCCAGTTCTGACTCCACCTCCATGCTGCCTGCTCGTATAAGTGTGGTCTCTAATTAGAAACCTTGCTGACCCCTGCATGCAGGCCTCTTTAGAGAAACTGCAGGACAGGAACAAACAGTGGATGTATACTGGATGAAGACAAGTGATGCCAACCCTCTGGGACACCCGGTCATATCTCTGCTTCTGTTCCTCAGTATCTCCATCTGAATAATGGTAATCTTCAATTCCATGCTATCTAAGGCCACATCTTCAAATGGATGGAATGCACCTGGGGCAGAGATAAGATTTTAGATATTTCAAATGCTGTGCCATGGGAGAGGTACTTTCATATCCAAGTAATGGGTGATTGCTTTCTTGCTACATGATACAGAGCACCTGACTTTTGAGCCCCATGGTATATTTTTTTAAATTATGTCCAAGATTAAAAGGAAGCGTAAACTAGAGGTTGCACATCTGGCTAGACTATATGTAATATAAGCTCACAGAGGTGATTTTACAATTTTAGGCATTTATAAGACTTCACAGTGGGAGATTTAATTTATTTTTTCCCATTTGTTTTTATTAGTTTGAGGCTAATTATTTTACAATATTGTAGTGGTTTTTGCCATACATTGACATGAATCAGCCATGGATTTACATGTGTTTCCCATCCCGATCCCCCCTCACACCTCCCTCCCTACCCCATCCCTCTGGGTCTTCCCAGTGCACCAGGCCCGAGCACTTGTCTCATGCATCCAACCTGGGCTGGTGATCTGTTTCACCCTTGGTTTCCTCGGTGTGTATGCCCAGAAGTGGGATTGCTGGGTCATATGGCAGTTCTATTTCCAGTTTTTTAAGAAATCTCCACAATGGAGAGATCACAACAGACAACACTGAAATACAAAGGATCAAAAGATACTACTACCAGCAGCTCTATGCCAATAAAATGGGAGATTTAATTTAAAAAATTTCTATCAATGCAGGACAAGTAACCCAACTGGCATCACAGTCCTGGCATTTAATAAGGACAGTGGGTCTCAATGTGAGTGAGCATCAGAATCCCTTAACCATTTGGCCAAACGCAGATTTGAGATCTTCATCCCCAGATTTTGGATTCAGTAGCACATGGTAGGACCTGAGTAGCTGCATCAACAAGGTTTCCAAGGCACTAGAGGTGCTGCTCAAGGGACCAGACTTTCAAAACCCTGAACTAAGCTAACAAGAGTGGCTCTCTTCTCGGGAGGGGAGCATTCTCTTCAATTTCCATAAGCCCCACTGTTTCATATGGCCCGCCTGCCTCCACCTCACACAAAATACTTCCATTCACATTACTCACTTGTCCTGGAGGGCATTTAAAATTGTGACCTGTCATGTGGGCTCACAGTAAGTGTTGATAAAAAGATAGCTTGCTCTTCTTTAACAATATTATCAATCAACTATCATTATTCCTTTTTCAGAGATGAAGATACCGAATTACAGCTACAGAAAGTAACTTTCTGGAAGACAAACAGCTGAAAATCAAGAGGAAGACATTTGGCAGTTTGTCAAGTGTCACCAGGTATTTCAAAATCACTAACAAACAAAGATACGAACACCACCCAAGCAAATCTATTTGGTATTAACACAGATGATGCATCAAAGATTTTAGGCATGACTTCATGAATGTCACATCATATTCACAAGAATAAGAGGTGGTCCCAGCCTCTCTGGCAGCATCTAGCCACATCCCAAAGGCTCTCGAAGTGCTGGTGGGGTGGAGGATGAAGGTGAGGATGCAGTGACGAAGAAGATTACAGCAAGAATCGGGAATTCAGATTTCAGGCTCCATTTTCACTCCAGACTGGAGGAGCTTTTCTCCTGCATTGTTTCCATCTGTACTAAAACATTCATGGACTGTA